GAATTGATCTTATTATAGCACAATAGTAGCAAACAAGGTCTTTTGAGGCTATGTCAGCCCGTTTTAATTGCTTGATGAAATATAAACGCTTTGCTGCCTTTTTAGTAATGTCATTGATATGATCGTTCCATTTCAAATCATTTCTCATCGTAAGACCCAAAATTTTTATTTTCTGAACACTTTCGAAGGGTTGATTATCTACCTCTACTGCTTTAAACGTTGGAAAGGTCTTACTAAAACACATAGTAATTTCTTTGCATTTCTTTGGATTTTAAATCAGCTTATTTTCCATCGACCATTTAGCAATATGATTAATTTCCTGTTGTAGATGACTTTCTTGATCTTGTAAAATTAGTTCGGAAATAGTGGTATCGTCTGCAAACTTCCACATCAGTGAGTCCGTTTTTCCAGACAATTCTAAGTCGTTGATCATGGCTACAAAGAGCCATGGGCCTAGACATGTTCCTTGGGGCACTCCAGCCGGTACACTTTTCCAACCAGAGAAGCATTGATTATTAAGTTTTATTCTCTGTTGTCGGTCTCTGAGAAAGTCAATAAGCCAGTTGATGGTTGAGGATTTGACACCAAGGCTTAAAAGCTTGGCTATCAGAAGGTTATGGTCTATCATATCAAATGCCTTTTTGAAATCCAGGAAGGCAGCACGAACAACAACAGCTTTTCCATCTGTCATTTGTAACCAGTGATGAATCATTGATATGAGAGCATGAGTAGTTGATGATCTAGGTATAAATCCATACTGATTTTTATCGATAGATCTTAACAAGACAGGTTTCAGATCTTTTTCAATAACAAATTCTTCAGCGATTTTGGATAGACTAGAAGTAAGTGAAATCGGTCTTAGATCCTGTGTAAACTCTTTGATGGTCGACGCCTTAGGCAAAGGAACGACATCGGCAATTTTCCACAATTTGGGAACATGGCTGTTTTGGAAGGATACATTTAGGATTAAGGTAATTGGTTGTGAAAGGATATCCGCATAATCTTTTAGTATCCAATTAGATAGTCCGTCAGGGCCTCCGGCTTTTGAACGGCTGACTTTTCTTAATTTTTTTACAACCTCAATTTCTGTAACTTCGATGAATGGTTCATTCATATCCATAGAGACATGTACATTAATTTTTTCGCATAAAACTTCTTCATCATAATCTAGGTCTGGCGATAGCATGTCTTTAAGGTTTCTTGTATTAATCTTGTTATTTCCACAGAGATGTTTAACCTCCTGCCACCACTTGCTAGAGAAGACTTCCCCTACCACAACATACCTTACGAAACCATGTCTCCTTGGATTACAAAGGCCATAGCTCTGCTCAAACAGTATGAGCGTGTGTAGTGGCAATCATGGCAAGGCAACCCTAAGCTGGACGCGAGGGAGCTCAACAGCCAAAGCTCACGCCTGGGTGAATGGGAAAATGTCAGGTGGAAATCACGTTGCCTGGACTGTTTGGGCAAGTAATCCCGCTCTACTTGGACATAACGACTCCATATTTACCAGTGACTATATACAATTATATCATAGAAGTATTTTAACGGACAATCTTAGTGAATAGAATTGGACTTAATTCTGAGAACTATAGTTGATTTTGTAAACTAGGCGTATTAATTGTAAACAATAAGAATGTTGAAAAACAAATCTGTACAAAAGAAGCGAAAGGCCTAAACCTAGGTTGCAATATTTTGTACGGTTGTACCCACCACTAATAATTCTGTTCGCACGCTTTCAATCTGTATACATACCAATCGCTATGGCGAGTCCCCCACTGCAAATCTTCTACGCAGGCTATTAGTATAGAATAAAGCTGGTAAATCAGTGAGCTATTCGAATCAGCCATTCAATATGAAAAACATCAACTTAAGCTTCGTTATTTACGTTAATTCTCGACCAATCAGCACGCGCGTACTACAAATGTTATATTATAAATAGATATAGGCAACGACAATTATGTATCGAGAGAAAACGTATATGGGATTGAGGTATACGTCTTCATAATTACACACCAGGTAATATTCGGCCTTTATATAAATTACTCTTCTACGAAAATGTGTATACCCTCTAAATACTTGTAATGTATATCGGACTGTGTCCTGTTCATAAAATTAATTAACTTTTCCTCGTCGTAAACACGAGACTCTTTGATTATGAGATTGCTGGGTCAGGTTATAAAATGATAAGCGTTAGTCATAATTATATATACTTTAAAACTAACAGTATCATGGAAGCGAACAGAGTAAAGAATTTTTTTCCAAAAATGTAACCTTTCATTCTCCCTTTGCCCTTTAGTTCACAGACTCAGTAATCGAGCGATGAAACGTTTCTCTGTAAAAGCATTTAATTATGTGACAGGGCCGGCAACCGGCAACCTCGTTCCGAGGGCCTTTTGGGACTTTATATGAGGGGTTGGGGCTGGGAGCGAGAGGAGAGAAGAGGCCCTGGGATCGGCCGCTCAAAATACCGACATTTGGTGGGTATTTTGAATAAGCATAATTTATCATAAAATTTTGCCTATTGTATTTTCAAAATGGCGGGCGTCACGTAAAATGGATAATATTGTCGCATTAAAGCATATTGGAGTTGTACCGTTTCGGAATAATTACAAAATATTCCGCTAATTACAGATAAATTAGGAAAAATCATTTAACCAATCAGAAGTCAGAAGCGGCTTGCCGAACACAGGACTTTTTACTCCAACTCAGAATCAAGGTAAACTGAGGCCCTAGGAACGAGGTTGACAGGGCCGACAATTCTGTATGTATATACATATATAGTTTCAAAAGCAAACTTGATAGGCTTATCCATCCACCACCATAATTCCAGTCCTAAAGTGTATCGTATTATCGACCACCTTTTACGGCCACCCTTTATCTTCATTTTTTTCCATGCAGAGACAAACACAAGTATTTGTGTATGTTTCACCCTTCCACATTTCGCCTTTCTTTGTAGCAGAGGTTGTCCTGAAATCATCTATGTATACATACTCTTGGAAGTTTCAGTCTTCTTGCGATGAATGTAGAAAAAGGATCATTGTGCAAATGCTCTAACAAGTGAATCAATGTCGATTCCCGCAGCCAAAATGCCAATACAAGGATAATTCAAATAGTGTCAGCCGTGGCAATTTGTTGTGTAGTAGCAGTTGTTACGGAATAGAACTGTGGAAAACTGCGACACAAACAAAGGTAGCGGGAAACCTTGGCTAAACATCCGTTTGCCAAACAAAGTTCAACCAATACACTACGATATGTTGATAAAAGTGAACCTCAAAGATCTAGAATTTTCGGGGAAATCAACAATATCTTTCCAAGATACTAAATCAACCAAAGTCATTTCATTTCATATAAATAAACTTAGAATAAGAAATGCGCAGATTCTTGGCAAATCCCGAAAAAAAGCATCTTAAAGTACGAAAACAGTTTGAATATAAGAGGCACCAGTTTTATGTCTTGATATTGGTTGAACAACTTGACGTTGGTGACTACAAATTGAAATTAAACTTTGATGGGGATATCGAAACAAAGGATTTAAATGGATTCTATAAAAGTACTTATAAAAGTAAGGACGGTAAAACAAGGTATACTGACTATTGCATGTGCACGATATTTTTATAATTAAATTGATTATAATTTTAAAAATTGTTTAGCGATTGTCATGTGAACATTGTTTTTGAATGATCGAACTTTAGCTATACATTGCTGCCTCAACATACGTAATAAAGCATTTCATGCATGATCAAACGTTTATTATCTCTTAATTCCGCAATGCTTGTTGTCAATTCCATCAGTATGTGTAATATTATGGCGTCATATTTCCGCCAAAATTCAACTTCGTTATTTTATGTTGAACATTCTTTGTTTTATTGGACTTTTTGTATTCTGCATTCAAGTTTGTGTATTACATTCATCTTTGTGTTTTAAATTCATGTTTGTGTCGGTTTTACATTCAAGTTTGTATTTTGCATTCGAGTTTTCGCATTTTACATTCAAGTTTGCATTGTACATTCAAGTTTGTATTTTATCCAACCGCAATCCAATAGCTAACCGGTTTCGCGGGCGCGGGCGTTAGTTTAATCCAACTTTACAATAATCAGTTGAAAATCGGTGCAAACATCACCAGAGGCCTCATATCTAACTATTGCATTAACAACGTCATTAAGTAAATACCGTACTTCCTCCATAGTTCAGCAGTGGAATAACACAAAATTCACTATTGTATTTTAATTTTGGTTTTTTTATATGACACACCGGCGCACTGAGAACACACCAATGAACTATAAACAAACGGCTTTACCTACAGTTCAATGAGAAACACACGCGCACTAACCATTTCGAAATACCACCTCTATCTCCACCCTCCATTGAATCGAAATCAGTGATCGAAATAGAGGAAATTGAGTAATTTGAGTTCACTGGCACGCCCGCCATACTTGCGCCCGCGAAACCGGTTAGCTATTCGATTGCGGTTGGATAAAATACAAACTTGAATGTACAATGCAAACTTGAATGTAAAATGCGAAAACTCGAATGCAAAATACAAACTTGAATGTAAAACCGACACAAACATGAATTTAAAACACAAAGATGAATGTAATACACAAACTTGAATGCAGAATACAAAAAGTCCAATAAAACAAAGAATGTTCAACATAAAATAACAAAGTTGAATTTTGGCGGAAATATGACGGCATATAATATTGCTCTTTTAACCAACTAAAGACTTTTTTCCATTTACATCCAAGGACGTTGGCCGTAACGGATTTCGAACCATCAGATGCACGCAAGGTATTTCCGTGCTTCGATGAACCAGCATTCAAATCAACGTTCACTTTCAACATTGAGCGTGGCAGTGAATATACGACGCTGTCCAACATGAACGTCTACTCAAGGCAAAAGGTCTCCGATACACGAACCACCCGATGCACACGTAATTATACGCTTATTAACATATCAAATTGAAACGTAATTGGCGCATATATGCGGTGATAGTAGGTATCAGACACCTAACAGCATATACTGAGTAACAAGGTACCAGACTACCAGTCTATGTCGATTGTCGAGTTGATCTGACTTCGCGCCATTTTGTGTGTTAATAGTCGGGGAACAACGATCTGAATTAGATATCTTCTTCGATTTTCTACAGCTTTCGAGGTGATCTTTATACGGTAGTTGTTGGGAAATCTCATTAATATTTATAAGAGTTTTAATATTCAAATTGAGCTATGGAATACGAAAGAAGCAGCGACGGCGGGAATGGTAATGGTCAAGGTCGATTGATCATTGACGAAGAAAAGCTTGCCATTTTAAAGTCTTTCTTCACAAGCAGAAATATGGACTCAACCAAGAAGCAGAACCTCGCTGTTATAAAAGAATGTGCAAACCAAACAATGCTCACAGAACAACAAGTGAAGGTGATAATAAATAATATTGTTTAAAGTACAGTAAACATGAATAGATGCTGCTATTATAAATACATAATTAGTTGCTGTGGTTTAATGTATTGTGTTAAAAGCCCCCGAGTTAGTTTTGTTATGTGGCTAAATTTATAGTTGTTTGTGTGTATATCAGTCCAACAGTATTGATTATTGAATTTTAATGTACTGTAAACTTTAAAATGTGCATGGTTGAGTCATTATAAACACACTCATGGAAAGAATTCCTCAACATATAGTAACACATTTTTAAAGCTGCAAAACTCATCCTTTGATAAATAAAATTGTCAAGCATAAAGAATAAAAGATTAAAATCTAATGCATTTGGCTGTGTTGCTGCTCGATAATAGTTTTGGTAGCAGACTAACAGATAAAAGCTCAATACTAAACATTATCAGAGCAATATAATTATATATAAAAGTAATTGCCAGGATCTAGACCAAGGTTCTGCTGTTCATTGTATATTGTCAGAAGAACTGTTTGATTGAGAGCCAGTCACTCAAATTAGTATGTTTACATTGTATTAAACCTCTGACTGTAAGTCCTGCACCTATGAAGTTTGTAAGGCAGTTTTTAGTGGGCTTTCACATGCAGGGAAAGCATTGGTAACATGTGTTCAGAAAATCAAACATTAACATGTTCATGCAGCTATTGTTTCAATATACCTGTAAATAGTGGACTTATGGTCGGGGGACTTATATTTGGAATGGTGTATAAACACTAGAAATGTGATAGGCTTACACAGAGGGCTTATAAGGGGGGTTTGTGATGGGAGGTTTATGGTATTTGATTTTGAAAAGGTTATCCCGAGATGGCAGCCCTTGCTTATATAGGCCCACTCTAAATAACTATAGTCCTGTGATTATGTGAGGTTTAAACTGAAGCATCCATGTGATGTACTATGGGAACTTTTAAATATAAACTGTGTAGCTGGTTGATGATTGGTTAACATAAATAAACTATTAGTGTTGATATTTGGCACTACTACAAATTACTAAAGAATATCATTTGCCATATCCCTGGTTTCATAGTGAAGTGATTAGTTAGGGAATACCTTGGATGCTCTAACTAATATGTCTATTTGCCCTAACTAATATGTCAATATCAGTTTTGGCATCCAAGATATTTGAAAAGACTTCTGTAAATGAACATGATTATTAAATAGTTTTTATGTTAATTGTATAAAACTGAATATGCACTGTAATTTTATCTTAAGTATTTAAAATATCTTCTCTGTTGTTTTTTCTGCTGAAATGGTAATATTTCTCAAATGTGAGGGATAAAATATCTTTATACAGTACCTACACTCTTTTAGTGATAAAACCAAACATTAACTCATTTAATAGCCATGTGCAGGTCCTACACCAAGATATGCATGGCTATTGCATTTTAAAACCTATCAAAGTCAAACTCATCAATTAATTAATAAATATGCTCTAACTACATGTTGTGGCATATTATGTTACATACTATCTTATGCAATCTGGGTGATTTTACCCAATTTAACCTATTAGGTAATTGGCATTTTCTGTACTGTTATTAGTTGATTTACCTTTTATTCATTGTGTAGTTGGTGGTGTAGGGAAGCATGGGTGGCATTATGAGGCTAGCATGTTGCCTTTTACCAATGGTTAAAACTGTTGATGGAAGGTAGTACTTGGATCGCTCATCTCTAGGAAAAACCCCAGACCATCAGAGATGGTAGAGTTACATAGTTGATCTCTCCTGTGCTTTGAGGGATGTTATCTGGGTGCTGTATTATTAATAATATTGTTAGCCCATTGACTTTCAAAACATTTGAAAATTTCCTTGTGGGGCATTCGTTCACCCTAATATCAGACAATTTTACTTGTCATGGAAAGAGTCATGCCATTTAATCGTTGAATTATCTACTGTATGCCTTAGGTATGCATAAATTGTTCAATTCACATACTTATACATTTACATTGAAGCACGTTAACTTGCAGTTGCTTGACTTTCATATTAACTCGAGGTAATGTTGCTCTAAAATAATGAATTGCCATTATGAACAGTATTTACCATATTTTATGTTAATTACAGCACTGGATAAGTAATTATAGGGCAAAAACGAGTGGACGGATATCAGGAAAAGTAGGAAAAAGCAGATTAATGAGAAAAAGATCTGGCTTTAATGTATTTGCCAGTGAGAACCTATTCAAAGGTAACGTTTTAAAATATAGTAAATTGGAAATACCTGCTCATTTATTATGTAATAATTAAATCTATGCAAAACCATCCATAATATTCCATGTAAGTTGTGTAGTTACAGTACTTTTTCAGAATTCTTTATTGTATAATTTAATACTTTATCTCTTATTTTGTAGAAAGCAGTGGATCTTCCTCTAATGCCTTCAAAAACATTGGTGACAAATGGAGAACCCTTTCAGATGAACAAAAAGACACCTTTAGAAGAAAAGCATTGGAATCAGATAAAGATGTTTGCCTTCCTTCCAACAATGCCAAGGCTAAAAAAATAATAAACAATATGATGAAAGAGGTACAGTAAATCGTACGATAAAATGTAGCGTCGTGTCTCTATTGTTATGTAATTACTTATTTCATTTCACAAATTTATTTATATTGAAACCTTCATTATCCTATACAGCTAAGGGGTTTTCCTACCAAAAACGTAAACCTTAAACAACTTAGAGCGTGCAAAAAGCAATGGGTTATTATTTAGCATATGTACACTCCGAAAACTAGTCTTGTATTTTGTAACAAACCACCCCTATATACGCAATACCCAGTGGCGTAGCCAGCCCGAAGATTTTGTCCCGCTATGTAAATTTCGAGTTATTATAATTGTAGGTTTGAAACGTACACGTAGTCTGGAATATCGATATGTTGCCATTTCCATGCCCAGAGAGTCTACAATAATTATTCATTTCTTTAGAAATATATTGTTTTTACAGTCAATGAACACCAAAATACTGACTTACTGTGCCTAACCAGCTTACTAAATATAGCTTAATACTAAATATAGCTTACTAACCAACTAAACAACCATATATACATACATACATACAGGCTAATTCGCTGAATAGCTAACTAAGTACTGTAAATAACTACCCTTTATTCTCTATCAGCTGGTTGTTATAATTGTACAGTACGGTACAAGACGTTTCGTAGTGTAGAGACTTTATTATATTTCCCTCACATACAATATATATGTATGTTTTGATGTTTATGTTAAAGGTTCAAGAATTGGAAGCTTTAGGAGGCCACTGTTTATTGATCTGCGGCTTTGAAGGCCATGTTTTCCATGGCTCAACAGATGTCGGCAATAAGATGTTGAATGATAGCGAAAACGATTTGGTACATCACTTCGCCAATTTGCTGCAGTGTAAGTTTCGGATACAAATATAGTTGGATCTAAAGCAAAGATGGGTCCAGCGCGATTTGGTAGGGGGAGTTTGATAAAAATATTTGAAAATGAGATGATATTGTATTGCTTCGCTTGTACCTCTCCTGCACCCCCTTTGGCCTAAGTAATAATATTTACTATTGAATGTTATGATTAACTAAACGTTAAGTAAACTTGACTGTATAGGTTCTCAGGATGGAAAGGAGAATATTTCCGTAAAAGCTATTCAAGAACTTTTTAATAAAAAATACGGTGAGCACAAGTTATGTATTGAAAGTTGTAGTTTGAGTACAGGCAGCGTAGTTGGCATAGTCACTGTATATACTGTGATGTCTGTGCATGAGCATAAAGAGTTTGTTATACAGTGTATACAGGGTGTATAAAAAAAAGGAGACCTTTATTTATTGTATGTAATGGTAAAGTTTCAGATACATTGCTTGATTTTAATAGGTGAAGTTGTGAAAAAGAAAAACGGGAAAATGCCATATTCGAAAATTCAAGAATATGGTATTGCTTTTATCGGACTTCCAGCTCATCTGGAGATAGATATTGGAACTACACCACGAAAGCCTGCTCTGTACGGTTCGGCTCAGCGTCGTGAATTGTGGCAGTCTAGAAATGCTTGGTCATTAACTATTACTTCATCAAGTAATCTTATTTCCAATGCTCACACTGATGCCGGTCATTCTGCTCTCCAATCTATTTCTGATCCTGTTGTCTCTAACTGTAAATTCAACGCTTCAACTTCCAATCCTCCTACTTCTACTGCCTTACATTCTACTTTTTTGTCTACACCTTCGACTTCCCATCCTCTTACTTCCAGTCCTGCTGTCTCTAGCTCCCCCAGTTCTAGTTCTTCCCTGCCTACTCCTTCAACATCCAATCCTCGCATTTCTATTGCCTCTGTTAATGTCCCTAATTCTAGCTCTTCTGTTTCAAAACCTTCTGCTTTCAATCCTCTTACCTCTAGTTGTCTTACATCTACTTCTTCTCCTCTTTTGTCGGACACATCCAATGTTTCTTTGCCTGTTAATTCCAGTCCTGTTATGGCCGTATCAAGTCCCGCAACCCTCGCTTCTTTGCAGGAAATTCACAAAACAAAAGCTATCAGAGTACCAAAAGGTGTATATTAATTCCTGTTTAAATTTCGAATTATGTACAAGTGCCAATGTCTTTTAGTAATTTGAAACATTGCATATAGTACGAGTACGGTAACTATGTTTCTCATATATTGCATAATTTTAGACATGTTGTTTGGTCTGATGGCGAAGAATAGTAATGATGTACAGGCTATAGCAGTAGTATCGGGACAAACTCGCGTCCACGGGCGAAACGTGGGAGTTGGAAATGTTGTTGTCGAAATTCGCCGCATTATTCAACCTGGGTTGCTTCCTTTTTGTCCTGGTGCATTTGATACGGACGAATGTGTCGTCGTAGGTGCTTTTTACGAGTGGCCCTGTAACAGATTAGCTCTTCTGCATGCGCAGTAACCCTTAACTAGTTAATACGTGGGCATGGCATTGATATTATAAATTTCTTCTCAGTAGTTTAGTTTCTTTATGTTAAAAAAACGAAAAATATGTATCTTGTCAATATGCATTTTTCTGAATAAAATATTTGAGGTACGATTTACAGTATTTAGTATTCTAGAGAACAGTTTTATGCATTTAAAATGTTACACATTCAACCTCTGATATGATCTTATATTCATTGTTGTCTTATTAACCAATGATGATTTTTTTGATTCAGGAACGTAAACTGCGTCAGGTTGACTTTGTGTTGGTTCGACTCCAACTCGCAGTGAATTACCTCCCCATTTCAAACTTAGAACTTATGCTCTTTGATTACGATGACAACAACAGTAGTGTATAGGGGCTGTATACATGAGCCCGGTTACCCGAGATTCAACGAAGCGTGAGAGGACTCTGAGGTATTGAAATAAGACTTTATGAATTACGACACCAAACAAGCACATGCTATTGTTGTGGTGATTATACGACTGCCAGGAACATGTTATCTGCTCATTTCAATACCTCGAAGTCATCTCACGCTTCGTTGAATCGCGGGTAAACGGGCTCATGTAAACAGCCCCTTAGTATATGGTTAACTAATCAAGATCTGTTTGAATTCAATGCTTGAATAAGTAGATGTCTGGCTCCAGGGGGTGGTTGTTCAAAAGCCGGTTAACTTAATCCTGGGTTAAAGCACAGTTATAAAATATACATGGTTTGGAGACTATGTTGAGGTAGATTTATGGAAAAAATTGTTCTTTTCTCATCACATGTCTATTGTATTTTGCAACAGATAAACCAATAGCAATCTTGTTATTAACATATCTTTCAAGTCAAGGTTGAGGAGCTTTCTTAGCTATTCTATCAACTGTGGTTAAAGCAAATCTCTACATAAATTTTTATAATCGCTTGTTTACAAAATTGAATATCTTTTTTCATAAATATTGTCTGGACCGATAGAAGTCATATTTACCAAGTTTTAAAACGAACAGTGGTTCAAAAAAAGAGTAAAACAATGAGTTAAAATTTAACCCAGGGTTATTAATATTATAGGTTTGAACAGGCCCCTGGTCTCTGATGGAGACTTCACAAAAGCTACAGCGGTTTTGGACAACAGTGAAGAACTTGGTGAAATTAGCTGAAACTTTGCAATGTTGAGTCTTTTATCGATATAAACTCATGGCCGAAATATTTAATCAAAATATGGAAACGTTCTTATTGAAATACATTTCCCGACTTCATGGGCGGTACCAGTATATAACTACATACTAAGGCTTCACAAAAGCTACAGCATTTTTGGAAAACAATTAAGAACTTGGTGAAATTAGCTGAAACTTTGCAATATTGAGTCTTTTATCGATATTAACTCATGGCCGAAATATTTAATCAAAATATGGAAACGTTCTTATTGAAATACATTTCCCGACTTCATGGGCGGTAGCAGTATAACTACATTACTAAGGCTTCACAAAAGCTACAGCGTTTTTGAAAAACAATGAAGAACTTGGTGAAATTAGCTGAAACTTTGCAATGTTGAGTCTTTTATCGATATTAACTCATGGCCGAAATATTTAATCAAAATATGGAAACGTTCTTATTGAAATACATTTCCCGACTTCATGGGCGGTACCAGTATATAACTACATACTAAGGCTTCACAAAAGCTACAGCATTTTTGGAAAACAATTAAGAACTTGGTGAAATTAGCTGAAACTTTGCAATGTTGAGTCTTTTATCGATATTAACTCATGGCCGAAATATTAAATCAAAATATAGAAACGTTCTTATTGAAATACATTTCCCGACTTCATGGGCGGTACCAGTATATAACTACATACTAAGGCTTCACAAAAGCTACAGCGTTTTTGAAAAACAATGAAGAACTTGGTGAAATTAGCTGAAACTTTGCAATGTTGAGTCTTTTATCGATATTAACTCATGGCTGAAATATTAAATGAAAATATGGAAACGTTCTTATTGAAAACATTTCCCGACTTCATGGGCGGTACCAGTATATAACTACATACTAAGGCTTCACAAAAGCTACAGCATTTTTGGAAAACATTTAAGAACTTGGTGAAATTAGCTGAAACTTTGCAATGTTGAGTCATTTATCGATATTAACTCATGGCCGAAATATTAAATCAAAATATAGAAACGTTCTTATTGAAATACATTTCCCGACTTCATGGGCGGTACCAGTATATAAACTACATACTAAGGCTTCACAAAAGCTACAGCATTTTTGGAAAACAATTAAGAACTTGGTGAAATTAGCTGAAACTTTGCAATATTGAGTCTTTTATCGATATTAACTCATGGCCGAAATATTAAATCAAAATATGGAAACGTTCCGATTAAAATACATTTCCCGACTTCATGGTAGGTACCAGTATATAACTACATACTAGAGACCTTTAGTTTGACGTTTACGGCAAACGCCAAACCGCCAACAATGTTTGTGTTTTAACTCCACTGTCTTTAAGTGTGCGGCAATTTCGCTAAATTACAAACGTTCTGCATAAATCTTGTGATGTTCAGCAGTAATGTAAGAAAGCAATAGGCTATTTCTGATGTATTTAGAAAAGCAGCAAACTCAGCTTAGCCGTATATGTTTCACGTTCGCCGTATAAAATTTAATGCTTGAACGGCTGAGGGTGTATGCAGTCGTTCAAGCATTAAATTTTATACGGCGAACGTGAAACATATACGGCAAAGCTGAGTTTGCTGCTTTTCTAAATACATCAGAAATAGTCTATTGCTTTCTTACATTACTGCTGAACATCACAAGTTTTATGTAGAACGTTTGCCAGTTTAGCGAAATTGCCGCTTACTTAAGGAGAGTGAAGTTAAAACACAAACTTTGTTAGCGGTTTGGCGTTTGCCGTAAGTCGTAGGTCTCTACTAAGTCTTCACAAAAGCTACAGCATTTTTGGAAAACAATGAAGAACTTGGTGAAATTAGTTCAAATTTTGCAATGTTGAGTCTTTTATCGAATTAACTCATGGCCGAAATATTAAATGAGAATATAGAATCGTTCCGAATAATTGAAACCATGGGTTGGAATCGAACCAACCGTGAACAGCCAGTCATGGTCTTTGTGTCAAAAGAGAAGGTGAACAGTCCTAGTTGGTTTTGGAGGTGAGGGTATTACTCTACGCTTTCAAACAGCACTTTAAGCTTTCACTATAAATTAAATAATATTGATTTTGCAGAGCAGAGAAAACCGGAGTCACTGAGTAAACTACTTCAAAGTATTTGAGAGATACCTATACTCCATTTAAATTATTAAAACAAACAAAGCAATGCACTAACATTCCACGTTAGCAACTTTATGTAACAAAATAGCAAAATGAAACACATATACCTGTGTATACACATGTGTTATTATATGAGTCACCTGACAATTAAACAGTGTGAAAACTCATGTCTAACGATTTACCATAAAATATATACACATTATATTTATAGTAAAGAATCACAATCATTAGTTATGTTTTAAACCTTTGTTTGCCGCACGTTCTAGAGCAACGCCGGGTGTTCTTTTTAAGTTTCTTCTTCATCAGACTTCTCTTCGTCGGAATATTCGTAATCCGTACCATACTCTTCATTCAGTACAGAGACAAGAATATCTAGCACATTTTCTTCTTCTAGCTCGCTTTCTCTATCTTCATTTCCAGCATCATCGTCTAACTCCATCTCGAATTTATCTGCCTCATCACATGTCAGAAATATTCCATCGTCTTCTGGTAATGCTGCATGTTCATCCATGTAAGGTGCAAATAAAGAATTCAGATGCAGCAGCACGATGTCAAGCGTGTCTTTCTCGCTCAGTACCATCACCAATAGTCCTGTTGACTCAGGACTCTCTTGCTCTTTTCTTAATTCTTCCGACCACGTTGCAAGTGCAGATACTCTTGCTGAATAGAATTCAAGAACTCTGGCCATTTCGTTTTTAATTAAGTCAACTTCTTCAGTAGAACGGTTGATGATGTGGTTAAAATCAATTATCTTGCGTTGGATGTAGTATGGAACTGGGAAATCAGCATCAGCCTCTTCTTCTAGATGATTCCATATAGTCGAGTTTAGATCGGTGATTTCTTCAAACGTAACACTGGCAGGATATTTAGATTGGTGGTGTTCGGTAATCTTTTTATCGTATTCTCTCACCAGCTTCTTAATCGTGTTTGTCGTTTTATTTATTTGGCCACAGATCTTTTTCGCAATGGCTTGCCCGTCTGTAAATTCAAATATAACAACTTAGATTTCATCGCACAACACTCTGATGTTTTGAAAATACAATCACAACAAAGTACAAAGGATTGACCAAAATTATTTTAAAGTTTAATTTCTCTTTAGTAGTTTGTTACCATGATAAAACAAAGTACTTCTTTCGATGCATTTAAATTCACAGTGTTTTACATCATGTTAATTAATAAAATCATTTTTGAGTTATCGTGTACAGTATCACGCGATGTACAAAACGACAATAGCTAGTGGCCAAGTATATATCACTGAGAGCTAGTGGCTAAGTATATATCAAGTGGAAATCTCTTCGATTAGTAATTTCATTAATTGTATAATATAAACCTGCATATTTTTTCATAAGCTGCAGCAAAAACCAACGTTCCAAACATCTTGCACGCATATCACTCAACAATTCATTTCTACGTGTATCTTCCGCTTTGGTAACATACAATTTGAATGCTGGGTGATCTTGACTCCAACGCTGCTGACCGTTCTCAATTTTCTTCAGTTGTTCATTTTTGCTAAATTATTCAAACAAAGAAAACTTAACATTCACTAACATTGCAATAACATTCACGTTAGCAACTTTTAAGAAACAAAATAGCAAAAATGAAACATATACTGTACTGTACGTACCTGTTCAATTTAGAACTTAAAATTGAAAATTCTTCACTGTCCATCTCGATCTCTGCAAGCTTGGCTCTTTATATAAAAATTAACATAATGTAACTAATGAATTATCGTATGTATACATTAAAACATTGGTATTTAATTATGATGGAAATAGTCAAACCTTGTGTCATAATACTCTTTCAACTTTTCCGCATACTGTTCTGTGACGTCCGTAACATTCGCTGTGGCTACAAATATTGTATAAATCCAAATAAAAAATTAAGTACCTTATAATTTATGCTGAACCAAGTAAACCAATTCAAGCTTGCGTACATTGTGTAGCAATCGCACAGGTCGTTTATGTATATAGTGGATAAAAGTTCCTATATATACGTTAACTGGGTATTTATAAAGTGGGCACAGAACGACCTGCAGTGAAATTAGACAATAGCAATTGAGTAAACTGCTCTATATCGCTAACCTCTCTTCTCCGACTTCTTA